AGGAGAACAGAGCTGGAATGCAGGTTAGTGGGGTGGGGAGGGAATAGGGATTTTGCAGTAACCTTCCCTTGGAGTGGGGTGGGAATGGAGATTTTACAGTATCCTTCCCCTGCCACGCCCACCAAGCCATGCCACACCCATCAGCCATGGTCACAGAACTGGTAGTAAAATATTTTGAATCCCACCACTGCACCACGAGCCACAACTTAAGCACCCTGCGGGCTGGATCCAGGCCCCGTCCTTGAGTTTGACACCCTGGCAGTAGAGAGACATTCCCTGAGGATGGGCTCCAACATGAGTCCAAAAGCTCGAAAGATTAAACCTCCGGTCCAGCTGATCGACCCAGATTGGATCCTGTAACATTATCCCAGGACACCTATATTGGCTTTCATTCGTGAGCATATATTTTAAAATGGTGATTGATGGATTAACTCAGGTTATCTTGATCCAGTGCCTGGAAGACCACAGAGGTTAATGCCAGGTTGAGCTTTCGAGAGGTGGTCCCAAATCCAAGTGCCATTATTTAAAAAAAAAGTTAAGGTAAAGGTTCCCCTCGCACATACATGCTAGTCATTTCCAGCTATAGGGGGTGGTGCTCATCTCCGTTACAAAGCCGAAGAGCCAGCACTGTCCGAAGACGTCTCCATGGTCATGTGGCCGGCATGACGCTGAAGGCACACGGACCACTTAACTTCCCACCAAAGTGGTCCCTATTTTTCTACTTGCATTTTTACACGCTTTCGAATTGCTAGGTTGGCAGAACCTACTCTCCCCTATACAGGTGATTCTCAATCTGCGACCACAACTGAGGTCCAAATTTCTGTAGTTAAGTGAGGCATTTCTTAAGTGAGTCTTAAGAGACCTTGTAGAGAGCTTATGCTTGCAATACATCTTCATCCTCACTTGAATTGCCTGAATCTCCTGTTTTCCCTGGTGTTTGACAATTTTCACTGCTGTTGTCACTTCGAATAGTCATTAAGCTAAGCGGTTGTAAGTTGAGGACCCTTGCATAAACTCAATTTTTAAATGATTTCACAGAAACTACACTGTAGTTTCCTTGGTGTAATAGAGTACAGGTGTCCTTGACTTATGTCCACAATTGAACCCAAAATGTATTTTGTTATGTGAATCTTGCTCAATTTCACGACCTTTCTTGCCATGGTTGTTCAGTGAATCACTGCAATTGTTAACGTTAGTAACCCAGTTAAGTGAATCTGGCTTCCCTGTTGATTTTGCTTGTCAGAAGGTCGCAAAAGGGGATCGCGTGACCTCGAGGCACAGCCACGGTCGTAAGTATGAACTGGTTGCCAAGCATCCGAATTTTGATCGCACATGATCATGGGGATATGCTGCAAAGGTTGTGTAACTGTGAAAACTGGTCATGAGTCACTTTATTCAGTGCCGTTGTAACATTGAATGGTCACTAAACAAACCGTTGTAAGTCAAGAACCATCTGTACTTTACTTTTCCATTCTTCCAACATTTTTCCAACCTCCCAATCCAGCCTAAATGTCTGAGATTGGTTTCCCGTTCAGATCCAACCACGCTTAAGCATTTTTTCCCCAGATAAACTGATGTTAGCTAGGTATTTCTGCTTCTATATTATTTACGGCTTTAAAAGTAACAACAGTTATAACAATGAAGGGCCTTTTAAATTGGGTCTAGGAACACCGGCAGCTGTTCATCAATATTCTTTTTACCTCCTGTCTGTATCTGTATATCTCAGGAATTCTGGGAGTTGGAAATCCACAAGTCATAAAAGGGCCATCGTTCTCTACCCCCCTCCAATCTATTTAAATCCTTTAAAAGGGGGATCCTATTATGCATCCTGGGGTTCCCATTATGTAATTGGCCAGGGAGCCATGGAGATTCCTAGATATAGCTTCCCTGCAGACTGTAGCAAACTTGCTTTGGAGAGGTGGAACGTAATGGCAGTGAAATTGCTGGTTCAGCTCAGAGACATAACATCGTGGCTGGCTCTTAAACATCTGAACTATTTCCTCCTCTTAGGCAGAGCTGGTAGCTTAAAAATACAACATTTATTATTACTTTTTTAAAGTTGCAAACACATTTCTGGGGCTGATTTAACTGAAAACTAGACAACCCGTGACCCATTGGGTTGTCATTTCAGAGGTATTTCTTTACCAGGTTCTTCAATACCTTCCAACAGTGGCAGAGCTCCTAATGTGCTAATAAAAGAGTATATAGCAGTGATGGCTAATATTTTCCAAACCGAGAGCCCAAAGTGCGCACATGCACGGCCGAACCCTCAAAATGCAATGTGCGCCCCCCCCCACACGCACCCCCCCCCCCCTGCCCCCCCCCCCCCCCCCCCCCCCCCCCCCTCTCACTCCCCCACACCCCCCCCCATGCATGCATGTGCAACCCCCACATGTGCCCTACCCCCTACGCATGTGCGCATGACTTCCCCACATGCACCCTGCCCCTCCTGCGCATGCATGGCAGAAACCCAAAGGCCTGCTGGCTGGCGGGAGGAGTGTGCACATGTGCATTGGAGCTGAACTGGGGTGACAGCTCGCATGCCATCAGAGAGGGCGCTGCGTAGGTTCGCCATCACAGGCATATAGCATTCCTGAGCCAGGAGCTAGGACTTATACAGGTAGTGGGATTTTCCCAGGGTCTCTAGCCCACAGGATTTAAAATTGAGTTTGGTGGTCCCTGAGGTCCAAAAGGTTGGTGACCCCTGCTTTAGTGCCCTCTCTAAGCAGTTTACAGAGTCAGCATTTTGCCCCCAACAATTTGTGTCCTCATTTTACTGACCTCAGAAGGATGGAAGACTTGAGCCAACCTTGAGCCAATCAGGATCAAACTGATTGCAGTTGGCAGAATTAGCCTGCAATACTGCATTCTAACCACTGCACCACCACGGCTCATATACAGGTAGTCCTCAACTTACGACCACAATTGAGCCCTAAATTTCTGTTAAGTGAATTTTGCCCCACTACATACCCCTTTCTGGCCTCAGTTGTTAAGCAAATCATTGTTGCCATTGATAAATTAGGAACGCTATTGTTAAGTGAACCCGGATTTCACATTGACTTTACTCGTCGGAAGGTTGCAAATCACCTGACCCCAGGACACTGCGACCGTCATAAATATGAGTTAGTTGCCAAGACTCTGAATTTTGATCACATGACCATGGGGGAATGCTTATAACGGTCATAAGTGTGAAAAATGCTTTTTTCAGCCCCGTTGTAACTTCAAACGGTTGCTAAGCAAACTGTTGTAAGTCGAGGCCTGCCTGTACTTCTTCACGCAGCAGATGATGAAGCTATAATTCCTGACCGCCAAGCATGGGGATGACCGTCTGCCCGTTTTGAAGGCACCGTGTTAGGGAACAACTTGTCTTCAAACTCTACTTGCAGGAGGAATGAGTAGAAAGGGCCTAGGCCTCTACCTCCTGCTTGCTAGCCAGGGTGGATAAAAATCAATGATCTAAATAAAAAAAAAACATTTTTAAAAATTTAAATTGGATTTTTTAAATTTAAATCAGATTTTTTTATTTTTATCAAATTTATTTTAATAAAATGCTTTTGGCATAAAAATCTATCTAAAGATAGTTTTCTATTTTAAGATACATGAATAATTTAGTTTATTCAGCATGAAATGGAGCTTAGGTATCTATATATATAAAAGCGAAATACTACTCACGGATCATCACAAAATCTCCAGCACCCTAAAGCCTACAAACTTGAAATTTGGCACGTATGTTCCTCTTGGCTTCTAGGTGCTCACTAAGAAAGGATTTTTCAAAATGACCATCAGAGCATTAGTATTTTGTATATTATTAACACGCTCTGATGCTAAGGAGTTCTACTCCCCCTCCCCACCTGAAAAGAAATCTGTTCCAAATGCAAAACACAAGCAGAGGAGAGGCGTTTCAGTTTCACAGCAGCAACCAGCTTTAGTATCAAACAGTTGAGCTAAGCCACGCCCAGGTTCCTTGCTGTCTCCTTGCTCACACAGCAAATACTGTTTCAGTTTCCAAACAGCCCTCAACTCTCTCACACTGACTGAACGCTAGCCAGATGAACACCGATGGATGCTGGTAGGCAGAGGCAGAATTTTTTTCCTTCTTTTCCTCTCCAAAAACTAAGTCCGACCACATAGTTTCGTAGCAAAACACAGGTATAACAGCTTGTGTAGCATGAGGCTGTATATTTTGCAATATCTACATTTTTGGTAAAATCATTCAATGAATCCAAACTCTGCAAGCTGAGATAACCAGCACTGCATTGATGCATTCCCACAATTTCACAGTAACCATGAGATAAATCATAAAACAAAGTTCAGGAATATTCCTTTATTCCACTGTTTTGCAAATCTGTGTACCCTACAAACTGTATGATGGTTTGAAGAGAAATGCATCTGTACCACCAGGCTCTAAGTGTGAGGAGGAAGGGCAAGCGGTAAAAATGAAAGTGAAATCTTCTAAGCAGCTTATAAATATAATATTAAAGAGCCCCTGTCATTTCAGATCCATCATGGCAGAGCCTGTTAGCGGGCATCCACTCACTTGCTGCCCGCCACGTCCCTCACCTTGTGTCGATGCTGCATCACCAGCCGTCCCATTAAAGCAAGGGTCTTCAAACTTGGTAAGTTTAAGACTCGTGGACTTCAACTTCCAGAATTCCCGAGCTAACATGACTGGAGGAAGAATTCTGGGAGTTGGAAGTCCACAAGTCTTAAAGCTGTCAAGTTTGAAGACCCCTGCATTAAAGTGAATGGGACTGTCGGTGAGTCAACAGCGGGTCAGAGGACGAGCCGCTGCGGGACAGAGATGACAGCTGCTCTTTAAAAATTATGGTTTAAATCGACTTGATTTAAATCAAGCCTTTTTACTAGTGATTTAAATCGTGATTTAAATTGACCTGATTTAAATCAAATCCACCCTGTATGTGGCAAACAAAAGCTGGAATAAAATGAGATCCTGGGATAATGAGAATGATGTTCTTAACCAATTATTCCTTCTTTTCCAGCCTGTCCCGGACAACGTGTGCCTTCCTTCATGAGGTGGAGCCTGCTTGATTGACAACTCTTGGATCAAGGAAGTACAGTTGGGAAAGAAACTTCTCCATCACCTCCTTCCTAAGCCAGGAGCTAAGACACTTTCCTTTGTCCATGGCTGACCCCATCATGGACCTCTTCGACGATCCTAACCTCTTTGGCTTGGACTCATTGACTGATGAGAGCTTTAACCAGGGCGCTCCAGACTCCATTGAAGAGGCCTTGGGGCTTTCAGGGGCCACCCTAGACTCCTTAGCGGGAGGCTCCAAAGACCAGCAGGTTACCCCTCAGCCGGAGCCCTCCCAACCAGAGACCCTGCCACTCCCCGATATGCGACCAGAGTCTGTGATTGAGCCGCCCCAGCAAGATCAGCCAGGCCTTCTACAGGTCCCTCAGGATCAAGAGGTTCTCAGCCAAGGCAACCCGTTCATGGGAGTCTCGTTGGCCACAACCACTTCAATGGTTTCACCCTCTTCTTCTGCCAGGGACCAGCAAGCCACCGTGCCCCCTCCGGCCCCCAAGATCGTCATCCTGAAAGCCCCCGCTGGAAGCTCCATGACTGGTGCTCACGTTGCCCAGATCCAAGCTCAGCCCATTGCGGCAGCCAATGGGGGCAAAGTGACCTTCGCCAAGGTCCTGACGGGAACCCCTTTGCGTTCTGGGGTCTCCATCATCTCAGGCAATGCAGTGCTGGCCACCAAAGTGTCCTCTGGAGCCGGGGCACCCGCTACACTCCACCGGCTGGTGCAACCTGGACATCCCGTCAAGCAGCTCGTCCTGCAGCCCATGAAGAGCCAAGCGGGAGGGAACATGGGGGCTGCTCCACTCAAACCTGCCGTGACCCTGACCTCGACTCCAGCTCAGGTGAGCACACAGTTCTTCCAGGTGAGGATGCAGCAACTAACAGGTTCTTTCACAGATATTTACAGATTAACAGAGTTGGAAGGGACCTTGTAGGTCATCTAGCTCAACACCCCGCCCAAGCAGGAGACCCTATGCCATCCTCGACAAATGGCAGTCCAATCTCTTCTTGAAGGCTTCCCGTGATGATGCCCCCACAACTTCCGAGGGCAATTTCTGTTCCATTGGTTGATTGTTCTCACTGTCAGAAAATTTCTTATTTCTTGGTTAAATCTCTCCTTGTTCAGTTTCCATCCATTATTCCTTGTCTTGGCTTCAGGTGCTTTAGAAAATAGCTTGTCCACCTCTCTGTGGCAGCCCCTCAAATATTGGAAGACTGCTCTCATGTCTCCTCTGGTCCTTCTCTTCACTAGACTAGCTATGGCCAGTTCCTGTAACCGTTCTTCATATGTTTTAGTCTCCAGTCCCCTGATTGTTTTTGTTGCTCTTCTCTGCACTCTTTCTAGAGTCTCAACATCTTTTTATAGTATGGTGACCAAAACTGGATGCAGTACTTTAGGTGTGGTCTTACTAAGGCTTTATAGAGTGGTATTAGTACCTTTCTTGATTGTATCCCTCTGTTAATGCAACTTGGGATTGCATCGGCTTTTTTGGCTGCCGCTGCACACTGCTGGCTCATATTTAGCTGGTTGTCCAAAGACTCCAAGATCCCTTTCATAGTTACTGCTATTAAGCCTGGTTTCATCCAGTCTATATGTGTACTTTTTTGTTTTTCTTGCCGAAGTAAAAGACTTTACTTTCTCTATATTGAATTTTATTTTGTTAGAGTGGGCCCAGTGTTCAAGTTTGTCAAGATCCATCTAGATCTTGAGCCTATCATTTAGGGTGTTAGCTATTCCTGCCAGCTTATTATCATCTGCAAATTTGCTAAGTTCCTCTTCTATTCCCTTATCTAAGTTGTTTTGATCCAGGTGGGACATGGCTCAGCACTTTCTGACATGCCATATGTCCAAGCACATATTTATCTTTGGAAACATTCAGATTCTTAGCCCTTTGCCACTGCCTGCTTTCTTGTAGAGTTCTGAGCGAGCCATTGTGGGAAGAGACAAGACCCTCAAAGTTTGTATATGTAGCCTTGGGATGGGAAGGTAAGGAGCTGGAGTTTACAGCTGCAGAGCTTCCCCAGCTGGGCTGCTCAGTCAAAGCATTTGCTAAAGGACAGGTTTCAAATTTGTTTTTTGTTTTTTTTTGAAGTGAAGATGATAAGTAATCTGTTCTTCATGTTCCTGTGGCTTATGCAGCTAAGCTGGTGGCAGCTTTTTATTTTTAAAGGGTGCCTGTATGTGTGTGTTTATGTGCACCTGTATATACAGTATAGCCTTCCACTTTTCTATGTATGGAATTTGCAGCAGTCAGAAGTATTTTCCAGTTCTAGCTTGAGAGCAGTATTTGCAGTTTGAGTGTGTATGCTCATTTATTTAGTTATTTATTTAGTTGGCCACCTGTCTCATAAGGGTGGCACTCAGGGCTTAAAACCAAATGAAAAAGTTAAACCAGCAATGCTGATAATAAATATTTAGCATTTCTTTTTCTTTTTTTAAAAGCCATTCCTAACTTACAGAAGAAGACACAAAGATAAAACTACAGTATAATCAGCCAGCAAAGGTTGCTTAACCTTCCCAGACCAAACGTATGAAGGAGTATCTTGGCTGTGCCTTTGTTTTTGTGAGGTGGGGGGGGGGTTCCTTCTACCCTGTTTCCGTGAAAATACGACCTACCCTGAAAGTAAGTCCTAGCTTGATTTTTACATGTGTGCCCAATTTAAGCCCTATCCCAAAATAAACCCTAATTAAGATCCCGCCCACTCCAGAGTGCATGGGTAAAAATTAAGTTAGAGTGGGGATGGGCGGGTGTGGAGCTGCCCTACTAACCTTTGGACAGTTGTAGCCAGGCCTCACACACCCTGACACCTGCCTTGCCGGCCCATTCTCCATTGAGCCAAAGGGAGAATCCAGGCTGGGCTGTCACAAGCCTCATAGCTCTGCAGACCGAGTTGAAATCTGAGGACACGCCCCTCTGGTAATGGTCCCCAGTCCTTCACTTGGTCTCAGCGTGTTCAGACCACCCTTAAAAGGGCTCTGAATTGTTGGAAATTGTTGAAGAATATTCTACTCCCTGGATTTGTAGGTTTTTGTTAGGAATTGGAGTAAGGTTTAACAGCTAGCCGGCTTGCCGGTTCAGCCGTTTTTTTATTTTTGCGCCTTTTTCTCTTCACGCTTTTAAAAATTTTATTAATTTAAATTTGGCTTGATTTTGCTGGTAGACTGTTTTTTTGGTGGTTGATCGGTCGGATTGTGGTCGGAGAGTGCCCCTGAGAGCCCGTGTGACCCGGGTTGGGGCTGGAGTCAGTGCCTTAATTTTGGTCTCTCCTGAGCCGTTTGCCTTTGATTGCAACAGCTGCGGCAGTCACAAGGTGCTTAAGACTGCCTTTTGCATAGGCAGCTGCTTCTGACATTTTGGGGACAATCCTGCAATTTCTCTCTAGGATTGTCCTATTTGTGGGGGTAAGCCACCTGGATTAGATCCAGACCCCTTTTGCCTGTCACCAGAGCACTGTGGCAGCTGCGAGATGCCTAAATTTGCCGGGATTAATTGCGGTGCAGCCAGCACTCCGGCTCACAAGTCGCTGATCCGTCAGGGCTTATGCAATATTTAAAAGGTCCACTTTTTTCCTTTTGACCTTTAAACTGCCTAATTTGTGGAGCTGTGCTGAGCTAATTACCACTTCTTGGTCACATTTTCCTCCTGAAGTGGTAGACAGCTGCTTTAGCCAGAGCAGCTGGCCTTGGGCTAAATATTTTTCAATTTATTTATTTTTTACAAAAATATTTTTCCTCTCTCTGTCACTGACAGTTGCTTTTGGCAGGCTCAAAATGGCGGCCAGGGGAGCTGATCAGGAATTGTCAGCACCCTAGCAGAGCAGAGAGAGCTGCCAGAGGATCAGCCAAGCCCAGGTCTGCTGGTTTAGAGGCAGCAGCCAGAATTAGAGCCAGGGCCCTAGCCCCTAAAAGACCTTCTAGGGCAGAGGAGAGACAGGCCAGGCGCAGACAGAAGGCCTTGGATAAAGAATTTGACAAGGCTCTGAGGGGATCCAAGATGGCTGACAGCATATCTCCTCAGATTCCCCATGAAAGCATGCAGCAAGACCAATTGGCAAATAATAGACAGTATTTGACAGCCTGGTCTCCCAGTGGCTCAGTTAATCAATATTTGCAGGGAAACCTCCAAATTATGGCAGAGGCTGCTTATTCTGTTTCTGAGCAGTCTGAAGGGCTTATGGCAGCTGGACTGGGAGGACAATCCTCCAGCAGAGCAAGATCTGTGCCTGAAGCCACTTTTACACCTACAGCTGCAGGACTTCGACCTGGGGAGGCCCAGACTCGAGAGATGCCAGCCTTTATGAGAGCCTGGATCTCTCAAGCCATTAGGCAAGAAATTCAAGCAGAATTGAACCAGCAGCGCCAGTTGTCATCTTTGAACGCTGACAGAGGCATTCCTCAGGTGCATTGGCAACATTCGGGGGAGCAGCTGACCTACCACAGAGATTGTTCTCCATCTTCATCGGGGAGGAGCCAGTCTTGTGTTTCCGAAATGAACCTCCCTCCGGAAAGGGACTTTTTGGAAGATGAGACAGAGGCAGCAGGCACCCCCTCATTTAGCGGCCTTTTCCAGCCGGCTCTATTTAAGACTGCTGGTTAAGGTTAAGAGCACAGCCCATCTAAATAAGGACACGGTTGCCCAAGATCTTCCTCCTGAGGGAGAGGAGCAGGAGGATTATATCTTCACTGAGAAAACATCCGTGGTGGATGCTGTTCCTGTGCCCCAGGTGTTTTTGGATGTGATCAAGAGACAGTAGGCCTCCCCAAGGGTGTACACTCGCCCTAGTGGGTTGGAGTCGACTCTCTTTAATGTAGACCAAGATCTTTTGGACATCATTGAGGTGCCAAAGGTGGATGGCCCAGTGACAGCTCTAGCATCCTCATCGGTCATATCACCAGACGCAGAGGACGCATTGAAGGCGGAGGACCAGAAGGAGGAGATGGCGCTCCACAGGGCGCATCAGTCTGACACCTGGGCCATCAGAGCATCCACGACTACATCCTTTTTCATACAGGCTTCTCTGCGGCCGCTGAGGCAGTTGCAGGGCAGAATTCCACCTGAGGACCTTAGGGTGCATCAGGATATAAATAAGATAATAGCCACAGCACAATTGACAACTCACTGCAGCCAAATTTTCATCCAGGGCCATTGCCTCTTCTGTAACAGCACGTAGGCTTCTATGGCTACGAAATTGGCAAATGGACTCCAGGAACAAATGAAAGCTGGTGTCAGCCCCCTTTAAGGGGGAGAGGCTTTTTGGGGAGTCTCTGGATACCTTTCTAACGGAGACCAGAGACAAACGAAAGATCCTCCCTTCTCAGGGGAGGCATTTTGTTTACCGCCCTTCGCCCTATTTCAGGAGGCCCTCCTTTAGATAGGGGGAGGCTAGGGCGAGCTTACCCCATCAAACTAGGCCCTTCTTCCAGAGATCATCTTCTTAGACAAATAGAGCAGCCTTTGTGGCCAGAGGCCATCAGAGGCCAGGGGGCAAGAGGTCCTTCCGGGGCTCCAGTAGGCCTTTTAGACACAACAAGTGACGCCAGAGACATCCATCCCATAGGGGGCCATCTGGGTCTCTTCTGGTAAAAGTGGGAAGAGACCACAATGGATGCTTGGATCCTGGCAACTATACAATCAGGGCTCTCCCTGGAGTTTATTTACTCCCCCCTAAGAGCCTTTATGTGTTGCCCCGTCTCCAGGGACCTGACAAAGTGGGCACTCATGGAATCGGTGATCCAGCATTTACTGGATATCCATGCCATCCAGCCGGTTCCAGGGAACCAGAGGGGATGGGGGTTTTATTCAGTTTTGTTCGTCATCCCAAATACCTCGAGGGGGTGGCAAGCAATTCTCAACTTGAAAGG